CTTCCCACCCAACCCACTCTCAGTACAGAAGGTGCACAGGAACTGGGCTGTCTGTGTGGAAAAGCTGCTGAAGCAGCCTTGCCCCAAGCCCCACTGTTACCATGGTCAAGAGAGGTGCATTGTGGGTTCCAAGGCTTCTGGACCTGGGTTTGGTCTGGCCCATTGCCTATGAAAGGCGGTCCCAGCCTGGGCAGGTGGTAAGGCTTGCAGGTAACAGTATCAGAGACTGGGCTGGAGGACAGCACAGGGACCGCATGTCTGTTACTTGTGTCCCACTGGTCAGCACCCACCCATCCACTGACTATAAAATACCCCTTCAACTGCAGTGCACCCCAAACTGCGGGCCTGGTCTCCGCCACCGAGTGGTCCTTTGTAAGAGCGCAGATCAGCGGTCCACTCTGCCCCCTGGGCACTGCCCTCCCTCAGCCAAGCCACCAACCACTATGCGATGCAACCTGCGCCGCTGCCCTCCCGCCCGTTGGGTGGCCAGCGAGTGGGGTGAGGTAGGTGGGTACGGCCCTGTGGGATAAGGGTGAGGAGTGGCCTTAGAGAGGTGACTCAGCGGCTCCTCTCTTCAGTGCTCCTCACAGTGTGGCCTCGGCCAGCAGCAGCGCACAGTACGCTGCACCAGCCACACGGGCCAGCCGTCCAGAGAGTGCACTGAGGCCCTGCGGCCGTCCACCATGCAGCAGTGTGAGGCCAAGTGTGACAGCGCGGTGCCCCCTGGGGATGGCCCAGAAGGTATGTGGACCACGGGGGAAGGGCACCAGGCGTTTTCTGATTATTAGTCCTTGAGATTCCATTACAGTTTTACTTATTGTTTTTACAAATTCAAGGGTGAGATGGGGATTCATCTGCTTTGGGGCTCCTGTGAAGGTCAGAGGGCAACTCAAGCAGTTGATTCTGTCCTTCTATCCTGTGAGCCTCAGATTCAAACTCAGATCTCACATAACCAAGGGTGGCTTTGAACTCCTGATCCTTCCGCCTCTGCCTTCCAAGTGCTAGGGTTGCAGGACTTCACCACCACGCCCAGTTTTTGCAGTGCCAGGGATGGTAGCCAATGCTTCCAGGGTGCTACTACTTCAGCCCAAGCCCAGCTCAGGCACTGTTGACGTTTGGGGCACAGAAATCTGTCACGTGACACGTGAGATGTAGACAGTGGTAGTCCCTACCCACTCACGATTTATATGGACGTCTCCATACCATGTGCCCTGTTTGGGAGGAGGAAAATTCAGGGCTTACACAACACTGTTTTTACACTACACCTGTTTTTTTTTTTTTTTTAACCTAAGTAATTTTTTTTCTTTTCTTTATTTTTTATTTGTTTTTTTCTTGGGGGGGGGAGTGGGTTGTTGTTTGGTTTTAGTTTTTCAGGACAAGGTTTCTCTGTGTACCTGTCCTAGAACTCACTCTTTAGGCCAGACTGGCCTCTGCCTGAGTTTGCAGATATCCACCTACCTATGCCTTCCAAGTGCTGGGATTAAAAGAGAGAGTGTGCTACCACTGCCCAGCTATTTTGATTTGTTTTATCACTTTGGGACAAGATCTCATAGACACCAGTCTTGTTGCAGGGAGCTGCTTGTTCGTCCCAGCTGCCCAGAACCAAAATAATCACACAAAACCATATTATTTAAATCACTGCTTGGCCCATTTGCTCTAGCTTATTATTGGCTAACTCTTATATTAATTTAACCCATTTTTATCAATCTGTGTATCACCACATGGCGGTGGCTTACCGGCAAAGATTTGGCATATCTGACTCTGGCGGCTCCATGGCGTCTCTCTGACTCTGCCTTCTTCCTCCCAGCAATCAGTTCCATCCTCCCACACCTAAGTTCTGCCCTATCAACAGGTCAAGGCAGTTTCTTTATTCATTAGCAGCACAGAGACAGAAGGACCTCCCACACCACAGTAGCCAAGGATGACCTTGAACTTCTTGTCCCACCTGCAGAAATGACAAGCATGCACCACCACACACAACTGGTTCTTTTCATTAAATCAGACCTTGTTACCTCATACTCCATGCTCAAGCAATCCTCCTGCTACGTAGGACTACAGGCATGTGAGCCATTGCACCCAGCTATAATATGTTTTGTGTGTAAATTTATTTCTGATAGAGGGAATTAGAGAAATTTTTTTCCAAACTCTTAAAACTAGATGACAACAATGGTTCACCTTCCAACACTGTGTCTTCCCCGTCTGTGAAGGCTGCAAATGATACATTCAATTGGAAAGAAGTGTTGCAGGAAGGCGACGGAGCCCATTAGGAACTGCATCCACTGCTAAGTGGGAATTTGTATCCATGGCCCGCACAGAGGCTGTTAAACGTCATGGTCTTCATGGTGCTCATCGAGGGCCCTCTCACTTTAAGTTACAAATTCTTTGAGCTGAACTCAAAGCTTCATTGAAAAGCCAAAGGAAACAAATTCTCTTGGCATCATAAGAACAACAGGTTCTGTCATCTTAAGTTATCAGGGTGGCCAGGGCAGGAGGATTGCATGTTCAAGACCTGCCTATACTACAGAGCAAGCCCCATCTGAGCAATTTATCCAAACACGGTCAAAATAAAACGTCAAAGGAAGGCTAGGAAATATAACTCCAAGTGCTTGCCTAACATACTTAAAGCCCTAGGTTCAATTTCCAGCAGAGGAAAAAAAGGGAATCCTAGAGTAAGAAGTGTTTTTCTCACTAAGAGTATGTCTTGGGCAGCTCCAGATGCTATATTAAAAATCCTCAAAACAGCCAGGCAGTGGTGGTGCACGCCTTTAATCCCAGCACTCAGGAGGCAGAGGCGGTGGATCTCTGTGAGTTCGAGGTCAGACTGGTCTCCATGAGCTATTTCCAGGACAGGCTTCAAAGACACAGAGAAACCCTGTCTCAAAACAAACAAATAAATAAACAACAACAACGAAAGTCCTCAAAACACTAACCCAGAGACAAAGGGGCCACCACAATGACTCGGTGAGTAAAGCGGTGCAAACTTGACCTGAGTTCAATCCCCAGAACCCTCATAACAATGGAAGGAGAGGACCAAATCCAGACTTGTCCTCTGACCTTCACATGTGTGCTGTGACAGGCATACCAGCTAGAGCTCACCACTGCTGGGGAAATCGCTGACTGTGATCTCTCTCCCTTTTCCCCTCCGCCACTGCAGAATGCAAGGATGTGAACAAGGTGGCCTACTGCCCCCTGGTGCTCAAATTTCAGTTCTGTAGCCGAGCCTACTTCCGCCAGATGTGCTGCAAAACCTGCCAAGGCCGCTAGGGGGTGTGCAGCACCGGGAGCCACCCTGGAGCACAGACTGGGGGGAAACTCCACTGGAGAGGGCCTGAGGGAGGGAGGCTGGGATTGAAGGGGGAGATGCAGTTGAAAGTTATTTATTGGGTAACCCCTATAGGAATCCTGGCTAGGGGGTGGAGAAGAGATGGCTAACCCAGGGACCCTCTTCTTGTCCAGTTGACAGTGGAAAGAGAGGACTGCCCTTGTCGCACACATCTTTAAGTCCCCAACACTCCCCCCACCCTTTGATCGGAATATGTACTGTGAAGAGTGGGGGTGGGGAGGGGGTGTGCCGGTGCCCTGCCCCCCAGCACTGTTCTATCCCTCCACTCTGAGCTGGGGGGATTTATATCTGCTATGGGGGAGTGGGATTAATACCACCTCCCTGTGGCCCTCCCCCAGACTAACCAGGGGCAAGATCTACCCCAACCTCTGCCCTGCCTGCCCCAGGGGGAGCCCAACATCCAGGCTACCCCCATCATGGTGCTACAAGCCCTGCCCTGGGGTCCACACACTCCTCACCAAGAAGCCTTACATCAATAAAGTTCTGTCTTGTGTAGATGCTCATGCGTGGGTCTGTGTCTCTGTATAGGCATACCATCCAGCCCCAACCCTAGGATCAAAAGGGCCAAGCTAGGCTTGGCAACATGTCTCCGTGTGTAAAGGTACCTTCTGCCAAGGTTAACAACCATAATTTAATCCCTGAGATCCACATGGTGGAGGAGAGAACCAATTTCTATAAATGTACTCTGCCTTCCACAGGCTTGCTGTGGCGTAACACACACGAATGAATGAACAAAATAAAAGCTCTTAAAAGTGGGGCATATGCCCACACTTCCTAATTAGTCATCCTTAGCAGAGAGAGAGAACTCTGATCACTACAAATAAAAACCTATCAATTGCCAGATGGTGGCACACCCTTTTTGAATCCCAGCACTCGGGAGGCAGAGGCAGAGGCAGAGGCAGGAGGCTCTCTAAGTTCAGGGCCAGCCTGGTCTACAGAGCAAGTTCCAAGACAGTCAGGATTATGCAGAGAAACCCTTTCTCGAAGAACAAGCAAACTTATTTTAAGAGAAAAGTGCAGTTTACAGAAGCTTTCTAAGATCCAGTCTCCTTGTACTCCCAACCATATGTGATCATTCTGCCCCTTTCTACATACTGAGTTGTGCTACCGCCCATGGACATTGGAGACAAGTCTTCTCAGCTATGGCCAGGAGGGGGCACACCTCATCAAGAGAGCACAGGATGCAGAGACATCCCAGTCCTCAGACATGAACCAAAGACTGAACACAGGCTGTTTCAGTCTTAGCCACATCCTCAGTGGGTGGCATGAGGTGACAATTTTTTTTTTTCAGTACAGGGTTTCCCTGTAACAGTTATGACTGTCCTGAAACTCCCTCTGTAGACCGGGCTGGCCTCAAACTCACAAAGATCTGCCCGCCTCTGCCTCCCGAGTGCTAGGACTAAGGGCGTGCGCCACCACTGTCTGGCTAGGTGACCATCATTTCCTCAAATGTCAACAGAAGACTCTTGTGAGATCTGGTCTTCCAAAGATCAAGGATTGGGCTGTGTGGTGGGCCCTGCATGCTTGAGGTGCTGCTGGTGGAGCCAAGTCATAAAATCGGCAAAGTCACAGGTGGACCAGGAGCGGTGGTGCATAGCTTTGGTCCCAGCACCCCAGAGAAAGAGGCAGGATGATTTCTGTGAGTTTGAGGCCAGCCTACTTTGCATAGTAGATTCTAGAACAGTCAAAATTACATATGAGACTGTCTCACAAAAAACACAAACACAAAATCCACAACAAAATACAGCTTTGGGGCCAACGGGGTGGAGGTGCTGGGTAGATGGCTCAGCTAGCTGCCGTGAGCACTTCCTGCCGTTCCAGAGGACTTCAATTCCCAGCATCCACATCAGATGGTTCACAACTTCCTGTAACTCCAGGTCCCAGAGATCCAGTGCCTCTGGCTTACACACGGACACGGACACACAGAGGCCCAGAAATGGGAGCCAATTTCACTTTGTCTGAAAGTCAGAGAGTTTGAGGTTGCTCAAAATTGTTGACAACAACCAGGGCTACACATCCTGAACTAGGGTGTGGTTACTTGGTTCTTCTGATATTTAAGAGGGCCCGAACAGTTGGATCCACCCCACCCTGACCAATGGTCAGGACATTCAAGCACACTTCTGCTCCCTCCTTTTGAAATAGAAGGCTTGACCTTGGGAGTGGTTGCCTTCAGAGTTCTTGGTCTGAACGAGAGTATGCTAATGACTTGAGGCGTCAAGTACTGAAGCTAACTGTTCTGGTCGGTCTTGTAGCGTGTTAAAGCAGTCCTTCGCTGTGGTATTGGAATATAAAAGTGTAAGAAAAATTAAACACAGGCCATTTCGGTATTCACTGGATCGCCCTCCCGGTACTATGCTATGTTTTCTATTTTATTATTGTCATTCACATCTTCATCCTCTTGACTAATTTTCTTATCCCCGTGTCCCTATTCTGGTAAACGGTATTTTGTTGAAGCTGGTCTCCGACACACACACACACTTATGAGTACAATTATTTAAAGTAAATCTTTTTTTAAGGCCAGATCTGGTGCTAGGAAGATGACCCTTTTCACACAAGCATCAGGACTTGAGTTTGAATCCCCAGATAGACATCCCCGTAAAGCCAGATAATGGTGACAAACACCCGCAACCCCAGTGCTCCAACACTGAGATGGGAGGTGGTAGAGACAGGAGAATCCCCGAAGCTTGTAGGCCAGCAAGCCTAGCTTCCACAGTGGAAACACAGAAAGACACCTGCCTCGAGGTGGGGGCTGATAGCTGTCATCTGGCCTTCACACACACACACACACACACACACACACACACACACACACACATGCACCCATACTCAAACACACAAACACAAAGATTTAAAAAAAAAAAAAGGTCCAGATCTGACATACAAAATTAGAAATCTTACATGGGCATAAGGCTTGTGGTGGCCTCCACTCTCTTTGTCCTTACTAACACACTGGCTTTGGAGGAACATTCTACAGGGAGGGTCTTAAGGGGATTACATGAGAACACCCAGAGCCAGACACATCGGAAACAGCACTTCCCTTTCTTGACTCGGAAGAGAAAGACCTCAACTAGGTGGCCAGTCCTGCAGCCAACTGACCTGGGTGCCTTTTGCTGTAGGCTCTTTTCTTGAGGAGGTAGATGGAGAAGGGACTTTTCTCCTGTCTGACAGTGGCTACCACCCATCTTTAACCTGTCCCTTCAGGCTCCAAACTTCAACTTCAGCAGGGTCATTGCTGCTAGGCTCAGAGCATTGTCCCCGCCCTCAGCTTCCCTCCCCTGTGGCCATGGCCCCTCCCGTCAAAGGAAGTGAGAGAGGGGCTGTTGCAAGAGGAACTGGGGCCAGGAGTCTGCAGAAGGAGTAGATGAAGAAGCCGGGCCATGCCAGAGCCACCCCCAAGAGCCCCCTGAGCTTGTGCCCCTGTCACGACCCACAGGAGCCCAGACACCAACCCTCACCATGGTAAGTGCTTCAGCGTTGGCTCTGGGAGTAATGGCCTGGTGGCAGTGCCCTGAACACCCTCAGAAATTGGGGCAATGGTTATGAGAATTGCAGAGCCCTGGGGGAGGGACTCCTACAGGGCAACACAGGGTATCCCTTTGTCCTCCACCAGGAAACAAGTTCTAAGGGTGCCAGATTGGCTATAGGGAAGGGAGAAGGTATCCCTAAGGGGATTACATAGTTTGCCAGGGAGGGGCTTAGAGAGTCCTCCTCTCCGATCCTAGATTTCCCTGTGGTTTGAAACAAGCACTTTCTCCTGTCTTGGCCTCTGTTTCCGGAGTTCATATTTGGAAGTTGGTCTGGAGATGGGAGTGTTTGTGGGGGGCTCTCCTTGGAAACATTCGTGGGGTCTATGGGTTTGACCACTGTGAGTCCAGCAGTGGTGGGGCTGACTGTGTCTCCCATGAGGGCAGTGCAGTGTGATTGCACAAGCGATGACAGGTGGTGTGATTGTAACAGTCTCAGAGGCAGACGGAGGTCAGGTGGAGGCCCTTGCCTAGCATGCCCAAGGTCCTGGGTGTCATCTCTGGCACGGAAAATCAGCCATCATCACGGTCATTTAGCTTTCAGTCAGTGTTCCTAAAGAGGAGGAGCTGGAGATCTGGGGTAGGGCGGGAGATAAAGGAGGATTCGGAGGAGGAACTAGATGAAGAAGAGAAGGAGAAAAGCAGGAAAGCAGAGGAGATGGGGAGGAGGAGGAGACAGGACCAGGTGACAAAGCATGGAGCGTCCAAGGGACGAGAGGCTATGTTCTCGCTACCCCGCCGGGGTGGCAGTGGGGATACTGCAGCCAGAGATGGACTGCAAGTCAAGGCCTGCTGACGGTGACGAGGCTGGGGGATGACCAGCATCTAGACATGCTGTCTAGACCCAGCAGCATCATGGCATGCACAACAAAAGCCAGCGATGGCCACACAAATCTCCCCCGTGGCTCCTCAGCCGTCATTCCTTGTCATTCTGTCAATGGGAACAAGGATGCGCTTCCAGGACAGGGGTAGCTGCTGGGGTCCTTGGCGGTCCAGCAAACATGCCTGGAGTAGAAGCAGGGAGCTGGGGTGGCAGAGCAAACCCAAGAGGGCTGAGGCTGTGCTCCGTCCATCATGCACGGCCCTGGGTTCCATTCGGAGCATCACACAGACTGGACGTGTTGTCCCCCATTTGGCAGGTGGAGGCAGGAGTTTAAAGTCATCCTTGACTATATAGCAGTATAGCAGGTTTAAGACCAGCCTGGGCTACATGAGACTCTGTCTTTAAAAAAAAAAAAAAAGAAAGAAAGAAAAAAAAGGAAGAGATTTGCTGCTTGAAAGGAAGGGAAACCCCTAGGCTGCCAGAACTATGAAATGCTTAGTCAACGGACTTCTCAACAGACGGATCTGAGGGGAGAAATGAGTCAAAGTGAACAGTGATCAGACCTGGAGCCAGGTATGGCGGCACACCGCTGCAGGCTGAAGCAGAAAATCATGAATTGGAGGCCAACCTGGACTACCTAGCAAGACCTTCTCTCAATGGAACCAAAAACCTGGACTACCTAGCAAGACCTTCTCTCAATGGAACCAAAAACCTGGACTACCTAGCAAGACCTTTTCTCAGTGGAACCAAAAACCTGGACTACCTAGCAAGACCTTCTCTGAATGGAACCAAAAACCTAGACTACCTAGCAAGACCTTCTCTCAATGGAACCAAAAACCTGGACTACCTAGCAAGACCTTCTCTCAATGGAACCAAAACAGACACAAAGCTGGAGTTGCGCTGGTGGTTTCCTAGCGTGCAGGAAGCAGTGCTCTCTCCCCAGCATGCATTAAACCAAGTCTGTCAGCCCAGAACTCTGGAAATGCCTGCAGATGGAATAAAGAATCAGTACAAGGTCATCATCTGCTACATAGTGAATTTGAGTCCTGCCTGGGTTCTAAGAGACAGGCAGACAGGCAGGCAAGAGGAAAGGAAGCGGAAGGCAAAGAGGACAGCAGAGAGAAAGGAAAAGACTTGGCACTATCTATGAGGACCATAGCTGTGTCTGGGAATACTGAGAGCTTCCCAGAGGGTTGCAGTGCCAGGATGCTGTTCAAAGAGAGTCTGTTATGGGGCATGCGTGTTAAATGACCAGGAGCTGCTGGTGCCTGGGAGGCTCGTGCATTACTGGCTGCAGTGGTAGAGACAGGTACAGGTCATTTCCTTCTTGGCAACTGGACAAGCCACTGGGTATTCCTTGTTGAGTGGGCACTGCTGTGGTTGTAATGGTGAGGGTTGCTTTTGGTTTGCGAAGATTGGTGCTTACAATGGTTCTCATGGGTGGGTTGGAGGTGGTGGTCATCTATGATGGCAGCTGGTTCTTTAGTTCTGTTACTTTTTAAGACATATTTCTGTTTAATTTATGTGTACACATCAGTGTGATTGTGTGCCATGTGCATGCAAGTGTCTGGGGAGGCCTGAACGGGGTATCAGATCCCTTGAGATGGATTTACTGTTGGCTGTAAGCACCGTGTGGGTGCTGGAAACTCAGCTTTCGCCATCTGAAAAGATGTCAGATGCTTTTAAGCACTGAGCCATCCTCTCGGCCTGTGCCAGGGTTTGGTGCTTTAAGTCAGGGCCTCGTGTGTCCCCAGGCTGGTCTCAAAGGCACGACGTAGACAAGGATGACCTTGGGAATCGGATCCTCCTGCCTCTACCTCCCAAGAGCTGCGGTGACAAGCATGATTCACCGTGCCCTGCTGTGTGCAGTCCTGGAGATGGAGCCCAGGGCTTTATGCACGCTAGGCAAGCACTCCACCAGCTGAGCTACACCCCATCCATTGTTGTTTTGAGACAGAGTCTCATATGCTGCAAGTCATCCTTGAACTCTCTATATAGTCGAGACGACCTTAAAGTCCTGATGCTCCTGCCCTCCGCCTACTGAGTGCCGGAGTTACAGACATGTGCCACTATGCTGGAATAGCTAGTGTTTTATGTCAGTCGCCGGCGGGAAACTGATCTGCTGGTGATTGGGACCTTGAGTGGTTAATACTCGCTTGTCGTTAGTTGTCTACTGCTAGCTTCTAGTAATGGTGGCCTAGCAACTCACTCTTAGATTTTGCATGGGATATGGTTATGTGTGGTTGCCGATGTCTGTGTGTCAGTGTGAGTGCAGTGTGCGTGTAAGGTGTATGTGCTGATCAAACACATGTGAACATCAGGTGCCCTGCTTGAGTCGGATCGCTCACTGAATCTGGAGTTAGGCTGGCAGATAGTAAAACCAACAGATGCCTTTGTCTCTACCGCCATAGCACGGGGGTTCTAGGTGAGTTTGTGCCCATGGCTGGACGCTGCGAATTCAAACTCAGGTCCCCATGCTTGGACAGCAAGCTCTCTTACCCAGCCAGTTCCCCAGCCCCTCGGCGTGAGTTTGTTCTCACGTTGATTTATCTCAGATGGGGCATATGTAAAGGTCAGAGAACAACTTGCAGGGGTGGAATCTCCCCTTCCACCACTGGGCACTGGACACTGAACTCTGGTGACCAGATTCGGCAGCAAGCACCTTTACCCTCTCAGCTGTCTTTCTGGCCTCTGGAGCTTTTATGATGGTTTTTGTTCTGTGACTGCTTGTTGCTGTCACTGGACACTTTTTTATTTATTTACTTTTGCTCAGCCTAGCCTCAATCTCATGATCCTCTAAGACGCTGGGACTGCGGGCACACATCTCCACTTGCGCCTGTTTGTTATCACGGGTGGCGGTTGGTTGATCCTGGTTGGTGGCAGGGGTGGTATACATGAGCAATGTTGTCTCTGTTTGATGCGCTGACTCGGAAGATTATAGCAGTTTCTATTTGACTTTGTGGGGTCTGAGGGGTGGTATGAGGTGAGCATCTTTGTTTCGTAACAATGGTGACATGAGGGTAAAGGTGGCTGCTCTGAAGGTTGAGGCACAAAGTGAAGGAGACTGCCCTGGAGGTATGGCTCAGGGGCATAGCACTTGCCTGGCAAGTTCAGGGCGCTAGGATCCATGCCTAACACCACAGAAACAAACAAAAGACATAAGGTGAAATTAGAGAGATGGGCCAGTGGCTAAGCGGTGCTCTCCTGCAGAGGACCAGAGTTCAGTTCCCAGCACATACATCAGGTGCCTGTAACTCCAGTTCTGGGGATCCAGCTGGCCTCCATGGGTACCCACACACATGTGCACACACATAGCACAAACACATACAGACATGTGAATAAAAATGAAATAAATCTTTCATAAAAACCAGGAGGAACAAAGAGGCCATTGGCCAGGGGAATGAGCCAAAAAAGGAGGTATTTTAAAAAGAGACCTAACAAAACCCACAACCGTAGGGCTGGGGTTGTAGTTCAGTTGGTGAGGTGCTTGCTTTATGTGTATGAAACCCTGTGCTCCATCCCAACACTATATAAATCAGAATAGTAGTGTACATCTCTCATCCCAGCACTTGGGAGGCTCAGAAATCTCAGCGAGAGGCTCAGAAATCCAAGATCATTCTCTGTTATATAGCAACTCTGAGGCCAGTCTGAGCTATATGAGACCCGGTCACAAATAAACTAAAACAACAATAATTTTTAAATAATATTATTTCTTGTGAGGGAGTGAGCCATGGTGCACTCGTGGAGGCCAGAGGGCAGCTTGAAAGAATTTGTCCCCTCCCTTCATCGTGTAGATCCAGGGCACTGGACTCTGGCTCTAAGACTTGGCGGCAAACCCCCTACCCATGGCACAAGATTTTATTTATTTTTTTAAGTACCCATAACTAAGTGTTATA